ATGGATGGATGGATGGAGGTGTACATACAAACGTACGTGTGGACATTTATAGACATGTGTACTCTGTGCACGTGTCTGTGTGTGCGCATGTGCCCTTGTAGGATAAAGGTAATGATAAGAAAGCTTCATTATCTAAATGCTCAGCCCCTCGTGGCAAGCTCATTTTTGTTTTGCTTGCATTCAATCGCGTAATTAAGCATCTGAAAGGCAGCCTCTGTGCATTGGGCTTTCATCCAGGTGCTGAGATAGAATAAAAAATGAGACTGCTCAAAGACTTTGGGGAGACTCGGATAAACATAAATAAATACATGTAAATCAAGGGCTATTAAAACTAAACACTGCTCTCTAAGGCAGGGCCATAGCTGCTTGATTTCACGGCTGCATCTCATAGAGAGGGCCCTCAGGTGGTGGTTGAGGGGCTGAGTGTGCTAAGGAATCAATGAGAAGAGGGCTCCCAAGGAGATTGGGGAAGACGAGGCTGAGGACGGGAGCAGGAGTTGGGTAGGTGAGGATTCAGAGGAGGGACATGCTGGGGGGCTTTGCCCTGGTGAATGCGCCTGGCCCAAAGGTCTAGTGCTGCCCAGGCTCAAAGATCAAAAATTAAAGTTTGAACGTGCAGTGGAGCTGATGTGATTCAGGGTAATGCACTGGTTATATAGGCACCAGATTGCAAATGTGTGAGTTTTCACTGAATAACCGGGAATAATTCACATATTAGGAGATAGTCTGGTGGATAAGATTTGGTGTGACTAGGAGCTAAGAATATCCATCCATTCACCCATCCATCATCCATCCATCCCTCTATCCATCCATCCCTCTATCCTTCCATCTATTCATCCATCCATCTGTGCATCATTCATCCATCCATCCATCCATCCATCCATCCTTCTATCCATTCATCCATCCATCCATCCCTAAATCCTTCCATCTATTCATCCATCCATCTGTGCATCATCCATCCATCCATCCATCCATCCATCCTTCTATCCATCCATCCTTCCATCCATCCATCCATCCATCCATCTGTGCATCATCCATCCATCCATCCATCCAACCATCCATCCATGCATCCAACCACCCATCCATCCATATATCCATCCTTCTTTCTTTCCATCTTATTCACAGGTACTCTGGATTATGTCCAGGGGTTTCAACATATCTTTTGGGGGGGGGGAATCCACAACCCATAACACACGGTGTCAGCTCTCAGGCTGGGAAAGGTCGAAGATGAGTTAAGTAACAGCACAGTACAGTTTGCTGAGCAACCCCTCGCTCTGAAGGAGCCCAGCTTGCTAGTGACCACACTCGGATGTCCCTTGATGTCTTGCGGTGGACACCGTGAATGCTTTGCTAACATCCACCCGCTGCTGTTTATGGTTCACAACTGCCCCATCCAAACAAGTCTCCTGGCCGGAGGTGAGCTGCCAACCCTAACAATTATACCTGTATCTCCATATCCGCTCCCTAGGGTGCAATGTGGGCTATGGCCAATGAGCGAGCGGCACAAGTAGACAAAGAGCTGGTGGCCCACACCCTAGAGTGTACGGTCCACACCCTAGAGTATCTGGCGGGGGTAGGTTAAGTGTCATCCCCAGCTAACACAAACGCCTGGCTTAGCTCCTTCTCTTGCGTTCCCCGGTCCACACTTTCCGGGACCCTCCCTCGACAACCCATTTGTGAGCGGGTCCTCATCCCTTCTGTGATCATGCATGCACCGCCAGCTTCAAAGTCACCTGGCTTTGGGGTTTTGGGTTTTGGGTTTTGAGAAGACACCACCTGGGGAAATTGCAAGTAAAACCCTTCCTTTTCCTGTTGTTTGGCTTGGTGGTGTCTTTTGGCTCCTGGGGCCCCAAAGAGGCACCACCCCATGTTGGGTTGCAGTGGGGACAGAGTACCCCCCCTCCAGGAGATGGGGACTGCCCCCAGTCTCCTGCAACCCCAGAAAGGCCTCCTTTAGGGACTCCTCCCTAGACAGATTTCCCTTTCTGCAAACTTTTCTTCTGACCGCAGAGGTTCTCTGCCGCCCTCACGCCCTCCGTGCATCCTGTCTTTGCTGCTCTGCTTTTGTAAGTTTACTTTTCTCCGTCTGTTGGGTGCTTGGGGTCCCCGCTGAGACCCATTTTCCACGTCAGTAAACAGAGGCCCGTGCTCAGCAAAGGATCCTCCCTAGAAGGTGGGAGACGGGCTAGTCTGTAGGCGTGTGCATGGGGACTGTTAAAAATGCTCAGACCTCCATCCTGTCCCGAGTTGGAATCAGTATGACACATACGGCAGAGCAAGAAGCCCGTTCCAAAAGGCGCTCCCGCTCCCCCTCCCTCTGTAGATCATACCTTAGGACCTTCAAAGACCTGCTCTGTGGTGCTTGCATACAGCTCCCGAGGCCGCTTCAATCAATGTCATCTTTATTCTGGAGCTTCGAGCTTCTGGACGTCAGAGCAACTGCAAAAAATGATGGAAATTTTTATTTTGAGCCAAGGAAGGTAGCCCTTAAAAAAAAAAAAAAGGCAAAAGTCAACTGCATGAATTAGAAAGAGAAGTCTTCAGAATGCCTGTGGGTATGAACATAAATTAATTAAAAAAAAGAAAGAAAGAAAGGAAGGAAGTCAAAGCCTGGCATTCACTGAGCAAGTGACAAAGCATATTTATTCTCGCTGGTGATGGGGATCGTGTCCCTCCGGGATAAAACGGACGCTCAGCCTGCAGAATGTGCTGGCACATTAAGGGTGGTGCGAACAGGGCAGCTGTAGCCGCGGTGCGGCCCGAGGGACAGAGGTGAAAGATTGTTCAGGTTGAGGTTCTATTTTGAAGGTGACGGGGCTGAACTGGAAACTTCCCTGGGTTGGGGAGGGCTCTTTGGATTTTGACTTTGGCACAAAGCATGTGGTTTCCTTCATGCTGCTGCCCTCCTCAAGGTGACAGAAAGGCTGCAGCAGCCCCAGCAGCCCCTCGCTGCTCCAGAAGACCCTCCTGTTTGCCATGGCCCGGGGTCCACAGTCTCTACTGGCCCTGAGGCTGTGGCCAGGGAGGAAGGAGGTGCGTGCTGGCAGAGTCCGGGCTGCATGGAGGGGCAGGGGCAGAGAGGTGTCTAGATGGCAGGTGTGGGGGCTGAGGGCAGGTGGTCTCTGGCTGGGTGTCAACTCAGGTTGATTTCAGAGGCAGATTATTGAGTTTTCCTGAGAAATGATTCCATTGTCTTCATGGTTCTGAAAGCACAATCTTATCACCGGTTTCCGTTGGCTGTTAGAAAACAGGATACCTCCCTGCCTCCAGGTGTGTGTGGTCAGAGGGCCTCCAGGTGTGTGGTCAGAAGGCCTCCAGGTGTGGGGCAGAAGGCCTCCAAGTGCCTATGGCCAGAAGGCCTCCAGGTGTGTGTGGTCAGAAGGCCTCCAGGTGTGTGGTGAGAAGACCTCCAGGTGTGTGGTCAGAAGGCCTCCAGGTGTGGGGCAGAAGGCCTCCAAGTGCTATGGCCAGAAGGCCTCCAGGTGTGTGGTCAGAAGGCCTCCAGGTGTGTGGTCAGAGGGCCTCCAGGTGTGGGGCAGAAGGCCTCCAGGTATGGGGCAGAAGGCCTCCAGGTGTGTGGTCAGAAGGCTTCCAGGTGCATACGGTCAGAAGGCCTCCAGGTGTGTGTGGTCAAGGCCCCCAGGTTCGTAGGGTCAGAAGGCCTCCGGGTGCCAGGTGCCTAGGGTCCGACAGCCACCCTTTAAAGGTAAGTGTCCGTGTGGTTGCCCCAGGTGGGCGCAGGATGCCTGCCGCCCTGTAGGTGGCCTGGGTCACAGCTGGACAGGTGCGGGGAGGCCCGGGGAGAGCAGGGGTCCGGGGTCCTGGGGGGTGCAGCCAGGCAGCCATGAGGGGAGGCGGGTAGGGCGGCAGGGTGGCCCGCGGGAACCCTCTGGGCTGCGTCCCCCTGGGTCTGGCACGTTCTGTACCCTGAGGGCCCGCGGACACAACCCTGAGCCAACGCCTCGGAGAACCTGGATAGCGGCACAGGGACGGCCCCAGGACATGGCCAGGCCTGGCCAGAGCCCCGCTGCGCGCCAGCGGATGCAAACGGGAAGGGGAGGGGCTTCCTGCCTCCCCCTCCGCACCCCCACCTACCCCAGGTCGGGTGGGGACAGGCTGTGGGACGCCCCCCAGGGAAGCCCTCCTGACGCCGGGAATGGGCCGCTGCCCCGGCCCGAAGCCCCCACCGGAGCTCCAGGCTCTGTGCGGTCAGACTGGGCTTTGGGGGAGGGGAGGGGGGACCGACCCTGGGGGGGGGCAGGGGAGCAGCTTTCCCGGCAAAGGAGAGCCTTTCACTTTGTCCCCACCCCTTAGGAGCAGGGAGGAAGTCCTCCCAGTGTCCTTTCTCTTTGCTTCTTCCACGTTCTGCGTGTGGGGGGGGGATGCGTCAGGGGCTGGAGGTGGACACAGGCAGGGACCCCACCTCCTGAGCAGGGAGGGGGCCGGTGCTCCCGCCCAACCCTGGGGGGTCCTTGGGGCGGTAGGCGGCCGGGTGTCCCAGCAGGGAGGAAGGAAAGTCTTGGCCTCTCCATGCCGCCCTGGGGTCTTTGGGGCGGTGGGGGGACCCCCATTCTCCAAGCGGGGAGCGGTCCCGTGCCCCCGCCAAGCCCTGTGGGGTCCTTGGGGGGCGGTGGGGAGCCCCCACTGTCCTAGCAGGGAGGACGGAATGTCTTGGCCTCTCCGGCCGCCCTGGGGTCTTTGGGGCGGTGGGGAGACCCGCACTCTCCAAGCGGGGAGGCGTCCCGTGCCCCCGCCCGGCCCTGTGGGGTCCTTGGGGGCGGTGGGGGGCCCCCGGTGTCCCAGCAGGGAGGAAGCAGAGTCTTGGCGACTCCGGGGCCGCCCTGGGGCCCCAGCGGGGAGGGGATCCCGTGCCGCCCCCGCGCCGCCCCGGGTAGCCGCGCCCCCGCGCTCGCCCCTCCCCCGAGGGGCCCCGCCCGGCGCCGTCCGGGGGCGGGGAAGCGCAGGCCGGGGCGGGGCCGCGGGACCCACAGCCCCCCCCGCCGGCCCCGCCCCGCGGGCACTCCCGCGGCCGCCGAGCGCTCGCCCCACTCCCGGGACGGTCCTGCGCGGCGCCGGGCGCACCATGGCTCGTCGGGCCGCCGTGGCGCTGCTGCTGCTCGGCCTGCTGGGCACCCTGCGGCCCGCCCGGGGTGAGCGTCTGGGGGCGCACGGGGGCGGGCGCGGGGCCCGGGGACCCGCTTCGGGACGCGCGCGGCGCCAGCGCTCGGCGGGGAGGGCCGCGGGGGCGCGCTGGGGGGGGCGGCGGGGGGCGCCCCGGGGACCCCCGGGCCCTCCCCACGGCGGCCGGGCGGCCGGGACGCGCCGTGCCCGCGGGCAGCCAACGCCCCGGGGACGCGGCCTAAACTCTCCTCCAACTTTTTCCTGGGCGGGTCTTTGCAAAGTCGCCAGCTCCGACAGCTGGCGGCGCTGGGGCCGCGCGTGGGCGCTGGTGCTAGTGAGCCCCGGGACCCGCGCGCGCTCCTCGGCGCCCCTGCACCGGCCCGGGTGCGCCCCCCGTCCCCCGGCGCCCCCCCCTCCGCGCGCCCCGGCTGGGTTGGAGCGCGCGCAGCCACGCCCTGCGCTCCCGGCCTAAATTTGGCCGAGGCTGTGCGGCCTGGCAGCGGGCAGCGGGGTGGGGGACTGGGGCAGCCGCGAGCGCCGGGCACGTTCTCGCAGGCGGGTGCCCGAGCCGGGGGCCGCGGGGGGGGGGGGGCTCGGTGCGCGCGTGGGGCACACCCGCGTCCTGAGCGGCCGCCCCCGGCACAGACCCCCCCGCCGAGGCGCAGGGGAGGCCCCCGCGTTGCGCACGCAGCGGCCGGGCCTGCTTCTGAGCCTTGCGCCTGGTCCACTCGCTGTCCTTTCTAAGTGGAAGTTGCCGTCCCGTTTGTCCCTCTCTCTCTCTGTCGGTCTCTCTGTCGTCTCTAAAGGAAAGCTCTGAGCTCTGATTGTGCGGGGCGTGGCAAGGCTCAAGCCTCCCCCGCCCCTGGGTTGGCTTCTGTCCCCCCCCCCCCGCTGACCCCCATGCACCCAGGCAGCCACCCACCCGCTGACTCAGGCCACACGGTGCGCTGCGCAGCGCGGGGGAGCTTCAGGACAGCTTTGCTGGGACCTGGACACATGGTGCCGCCGCGCACCCCGACGGGAGGCCCGGGTGGTGCTGGTCATGCTCCAGCTCTGGGGAACCTCTAGGTCAGGGCGGGGTGCGGGGTGGGGGGGAGGCCTGCACTTTGGCGCCCTTGGTTCCCTGGGTGTTGCGGGGAGGGTGTGTGGATGCGCAGGACGCCCCGCCCGCTGTGGTGGGTCTGGGGGGGAAGCATCCTGGAGCACTTCACAGCTGCTGGGGAGGGCGCGTGCCCCCCCCCCCCCCCCCCGCTGGCTCTGCGGTTTCCCTCTTTCCTCCTATATAAATACCCTTTATCCTTTGGCCCTGGCTGCATTTTATTTTACTGTATTACAACTTAATTAAATTAATTTTTTGGTCCCTGGTAAGGCGGTCTCGGTGCTGCTTTCTTTGCAATGCGCCTGCTCCAGGGCGTCTTCGCCAATCGGTCTGGGTGTCTGTTCCTGCGGTTTTCTTTGAGCACGTCCCCCCCACACACACTCGTGTGCTGGGGTTCCAGGGAAAAGCATCACAGATCTGGGGCAGCCCTATATCCTTGGGGGCCCCAGAAGTCATTTCGTGATTTTATATTATTATTATTATTATTTTAGAAAAAGCCGCAGCACGGTTATCCCGGAATTACCTGATTTCTATGCAGATTGTGCAACACGGGTGACATTGCTGGGGCCGGTGACATTGCTGGGGGCCGCGGGGTGAGGGCAGGAGGAGAGGGGAGCCAACCTCGTCCCCCCCAAAAACAGAGAGACATGGGAGGATGGAGCTTCAGTACGCGGTGATGCACACGCCGTCCGCTCACCCACCATCCTGGTGCTCCTGGGGGGCTGGGGGCCAGGAATGAGGCGCCCTAAGGATGCCAACGGGTTTCCATTAGGGAAGTGTGTTCTCGGTGCAATTCCGAGCACGCTTTCCTACAGAAATAGGTGTTTGGCTCGCTTTGCACGCTGCCCTCTGGAGCCTGGGGACAGACCTTGGCTTTTAACAGCCCGGAGGAGGAGCGCATTTCAAAGTCCTCGGGACCCAGGGCCCCCCCCCCCCCCCAGGCCGAGATTCCTGGCTCGCTTCTGAGATTCCCATAGGAATGGGAGGCGGGATCCAGAGGGAACGACCCAGAAGAGGCAATTTCACGTTTCACTTGGACATGCTTGGGGGCGTTTATTTTTTATTTATTTTTGGATTTTTATTTCTTGTTTATGTATTTTATTTATTTATTTTTTTGAGTTAGGACAGCTGGGGGCGGGCTGCCAGTGGCCTGTGGTAGCCGAGACAGGGACTCCGCTCAGCAGCCCGCAGCGCCCAGGCGTCTGCAGTGTCCTGGTGGCTCGGTCTCCGCCGCCTGGATGCCCGTTTCTGTCCTCCCTCCCTCCCTCCCTCCCTCCCTCCCACCGGCACAGGAAATGGGGTTCCTCGGTCCGCCTATTTGCCGGCAGGGGCCTGCCCTTTGGGCTCTGATAAAACTTTAATTGCACTTTGTTGGCCTCCGTGCTTGGGCTCTTTTCCCGTTCCCGGTGTACAAGGCTGGCGCCTCCTTTTATTATTATGTTTTATTTTTTTGCATGTCGAGCTATGCAAACACTTGACCTTGGTAGATATTTTCCCCCTTCATCTGGGTTGTCTCTTGGCCGCCTGGTCTCATTCAGGAATGGATGTGGCTCGGGGATCCGTGTGACCAATGCAACGTGAGCCGGTTTTCACGTGTGGAATCCGCGCTTTTGTCAGCAAACATCTTCCCCACTGGACACTGAGTAGCCCACGTGGGCGTCGCAGTGTTTCCACCTACTAAGCTTTTCCAACGCGCTGTGGCTTCTTTAAGGGGGAAAAGATTGGTACGTGTTTTATGACTTACACGGCCGGCAAGCCCCAAGACTCCTACAGAATTAATTCAGCATCCCAGGGGCGCCTGGCTGGCTCCGTTGGTTCAGCATCTGACTCTTGATCTGCAATCAGGGTGGGGGGGGGAGGGCTGAGTTTGAGATCCGACCCACAGAAGGCCTACCTAAAAAAAAATTGAATTAAAAATTAAAAAGTCATCATTTCGGCTCGAAGTGGGATTATTTGGATGCCCAGACGTGGGGGGAGTGCTTTTTAGGATGCCCGGCCTTTGTGGGGGTCGGAAAGACACACGGGGCACAAGACGTGTCCCTGCATCTGCATGTGCTTGGTTCAAACACTGGGGCATCCGTCCCAAGTGAATCCGCCGCATAGACGGCGCTGGGACGTCCTTTGATTCTTGCAAGGGATTTTTTTTAAAGGTCTCGGGACAACGCCTACCTCGAGTCAGGATTGCCACCAGGGAGCATGTTAAGTCCACGTGGAACAAGTGCCTGCCCACTCTTTCCTGCTGGTGGCATCCGTTGGGAAATCTGTGAGGGGGCAGGAAACGTGTCGTGGGTGGTGGTCACGAGGCGAGAAGCCTTCTCCCCACGGGGATGGGGGCGGCTTTGTGACAGAGGTACGAGGGGCAGGAAGCCCCACTGGGGGGCCATGGGCCAGGTTGGGAGGCCCGCCGCTTTGCTCTGGGCGCCTCGGGTGGCTCGCCACCCAACACGCGATGCCCTTCCCCGTGTGTGCGGGTGTGTTGGATGAGAGAAGGTCACTCTCCAAAGTTCCTGATCATACTGAGTGAATTCATAGGGGGACGGAGCACTTGTCTTTCTTTGTTGAGTTTCTTGTTTTTCGGTTGCCTGGTCGCTAGACCAGTTTGGGGAGATGGCACCTGGGAGTGTTTCAGCTTTGTCTCGGAATGACTCAGCCCTGCTATTATCCCTGGTGTGCTCACACTTGCTCGCTGGCTAGTGGGGTTATTAAAATCCCCTACGCAGGAAACCAGAGACTTCCTTTTTCCTGCACCCCTCCCCACCCCAACCTCCGAGGCAGAGAGGCAGATGGAGCCATCAAACCAGGGTATTTTCTCTGGTGGCACCTTGGGACCCACGGGGGGGGGGGAGGTTGGGGATGGGGGAATGGGGGGAGAGTTCCGTGTGTGGCCTGAGACATTCAAATGAAGAAAACTCCCTGGAGGTGAAAGCACCTGTGTGTTCCCGCCCAGGCCCTGCACAGTAAGCATCCCTGAGGCTTTTGTTTTTCCTCTGCGTCCAGGTGGGCTGGGCCAAGACACCACCCGCATTTGTGGCCCTGGAGGGCAGGCACCGGTGCTTCAACGCCCGTGCCAACCCAGAGCCCCTCCAAATCGTGTTCCTTTCTCTGCTTGGACATTTTGGATAGGTTCCCTCCGCTTTAGAGGTCTTGGATAGGTCTCGTCTATTTTGGGAGTTTTGGGTAGGCCCCCTCCATTTGGGAAGTTTTGCATAGGTTCCCTCCATTTTGCAAATTTTGGACAGGTCTCCTCTGTTTTGCAAGTTTTGGACAGGTCCCCACTGTTTTGCAAGTTTTGCATGGTTCCCCTCCGTTCTGCAAGTTTCGGGTAGGTCCCCTCTGCTTTGGACGTTCTGGATGGTCCCCTCTGTTTTCTAGAGGCGCCTTCACACCGCAGCGTATCAGGATCTGCGTGAGGGGCAACACAGTCACTCCAAGCAAGTGCTTTCTGAAATAGTGATTTTAAGTTCTCAAATGAACTGCCGTCCCTGAGAAGGGCGGCTGAAGTACCGGAGGAGAGGCTGCATTCCGATGCTTTGCAAGGCATTAGTCATCCCGAGACAATGCGGCCAGAGATTTCTGGCTGCTTCGGTTTGCTGCTGCATTTACCACAAGCTCTGAGTGCTGGTCTGCTGCTCCCTGGCAAGCGTAAGGGCTGCAGAACGGAGGATGCATCCATCTGCCGGGGTGCACCGTGGACCCGTGTTATGCATGGACAAAGAATAAACAGATTACGTTGTCTTGGGGGCAGAGGGTCTTGGAGGCAGGTCCATTTCGTCAGTATGAAGGAAGAACGTTGGTATTGCCAGTTTCCTTCTGAGGCTGTTAGCCTCTTCTCTTAGAGGAAGGTGTCGGTTCTGTGCTCAGCGTGAATGGAAACTGTGGTGTTTGCGCCAAACTCAGCACAGAGTGTAGCCCAGGGCACCCCAGCAGGAG